AGAAGAGGAGGAAGAGCAGGAGGAGGAGGAGGAGGAGGAGGAGGAGGGGGAGGGCCCGCGAGGCCGCTCGCCGACGCACCCGCCGCGCGGACGGCTGGGCACCTGAGCAGACGGAGGGCCGGCGCGCGGCGCCACCAGCGTGGAGCGCCGTAGGTGGGTGTCGGGAGGCCTCGGGGCCGGGCTACCGCCTTCGGGGGATGGACGCGACGGCCCCGTGAGCCTGCTGTCGGGCGATCGCGAACATGGATTGCCGACGGGAGGAGGATGATGAGGAGGAGGAGGCGGAGGAGGAGGAGGAGGAGGAGGAGGAGGAGGGGTCCCGCTGCCATGGGGAATCGCGGATTCCCGCCGCCGAACGAGGCGGCACCGGCCGCACTTTGGGGAGGGCACCTCCCCCGATCCATGGGTTTGGCGGCCGCGCGCCAAGTCCATGGATCGCTAATCCACGTTTGCGCGCCCCCGACTGATGGGCTGTTCAGTGCCCCTGAGCTGCTCGACAAGCCCGCGCGCTCGCAAGGCCTGCGGACAGAGAGCGTGGGGTTGGGTCTTCTTGGGGAGACGCTCGCACGGGCTCTGGCGCGTGGGTTCGCGACGGCTCCCGTTTCCTTGCAGCATCGGCGCGCTGCGTCGCCGAATCAGGCGGCACTCGCTTCATGTTTCGGGGAGGTACCTTCCCCGATCTGTGGATCTGGCTTCCGACGGCAGACCGGTGGAAGCTGATGGGAGCTGGCGTTAGCAAAGCGAGGGCGGCTCCGCTGGCGGACGGCGGCGGAAGTTCCGCGGCGGCCAGCTGGCAGAGGTAGAGCCCCCCCCCCCCAAGAGATGCAAACTTTTTGACACTCAGGGTTCCTGGATGGGCTCGAGTGGGGCCGGAGTGGGTGGGGGCAGAGTATAGACCGTGCCGCGTCGCGGTTGTACTGGGGATGCGGCGCGGTCCAGGTGCCGCTATCCTGAAGTCGGCTGTGCATCGCAGATGCCTCGACAATGCGGTGCGATTCACATTCCCCTTCAACGCCTGCCCACGTTGGGCGACCTCCAAGACTTGTGGTTGCAACAAATGGGTGGGCACGATCGTTGAGGAGCAGTTCTCGGGGGGCGAGTTTGTGAGAGACTCCAGGGCAGGGGTGGATATCCGAGATGAAGACAGTGTAAGCAATTTCGGTTCCGCGACACCAGATTCGACGATCAATGTCTCCGCAGTTCAAAACTACAATGTAACCAGGGGGTAGCACAGACAACAGTCAACCAGCATAGTGAGGACGAGCTACTATCCAAGGTTACCCTTGCACCCTTTCCCTTAGGCCCATCCTTGGCCGCTTTCGCTGGCCGCGCCCCGCTCGCAAAGTGTCGACATGGCCTTCCAAGGCCCTTGCAACCTTATCGTGCGTCCTTATTCTACGGGTTGACTGTATGCGCGCTCGGCCTCGATCGCGGTCGGTCAAAAACAACATCGCCCTAGGCATGGGCGGTGCCGTCCTTTGGGCTATCCGTTCCTGCGGCAACCTTCGAGGTGAGCCGCTCCAGAGCGAAGGTTAGAGCCGCGAGCGCTTCCATAGAGCCCTTGGGGAGCCTCCGGCGAAGCCTGGGCTCCGCAGTGGTGGCCGCCCCTCGGGTCGGGGGTTGCTACTGGTGCCCTGGCCCAAGGTGCCCCCAGCTTTCCGCTCCACTCCTGGGCCCCTCGGGCCCCCCCGCACCCAGGGCCTCGTGATGGGGTGCTCTGGAGGCCTGCGGGGGCCTCCCGGGAAATCCCGTGGGCACCTTGGGCCAGGGGCATTTCCAGCAACACCCGATCGGGGACCTCCTGCTCCCTCGCCCCGGCTCCAGGGGTCCCTCCTGCCCCCCCCCTCCCCATGCCCTCCTGGGCGTGAGGACCTCCCACCTCCTGCCATGGCGCTCCCGCTCGGAGCCGCGCGGGGACGCCCGCATCTCGTGGTCGTTGCTGGAATTTCTGTGAGGCTTCGCGGCCGCAGCCCCCACCTTGGGTCTGATTTCCTGACTCGACCCCCAGCGTCATTGCTGTGCGGAGGCGGGCTGCTGGGAGGGGCAGTGGGCGAGCTGTCCCAGACATCGGGCGGCTAGGACAAACTGATACGGCAGTCAGTCATTGGCTTTGATGACTTTGGAGGCTTCTTTCGGGCTCCAGGACCAAACACGACTCAGGATGACCTGCCAAGCCTGGGAAAGGGATCGAGAGGTCTGGGGACCATGGCCCGACCAAGTTTGAGCCGTTTGATGTCCTGATCTGTTCGAAAGACTCTTCCTCCATTTGTGCTGTTGCGGGGCAGAACAGCCACAGCCAGCAATGCGGGACTGGAGATCGAGGCTTTTCGCTCCATTTCCAAATAAATACCTTTCGCTCGCGCCCATTAGTGCGATTTATTCTTCTGGGCAGGGCCAGAAGATGTGAGGGGTGCTGTGTTCAGGAGGCGTGTCGTTGGGGGTGTCAGTGTTGACCGCAGAGAGCATATCATTATGACGATGGGCCCAACCTGATAAACCAAAGCGCACCAGGCGTGCCTCCCCGCACCAGCAGCGTGCCGGCAGTGGCCCCAATAAGGGCGAACGCGGGGCCTCGTCGTCGTAATCGTCTGTGTTGTCTTCGTCGTCGTCGCCCTCGCTCATTCGACTCCTTCCCAATTTGCCTTGCTCGCTGGACGTGGTGATACAGAAAACGCACAGACACTCGTTCCTCCAGTGGCGAGGTGGCTACTCCTTCGCGAGTGTTAAGCTGGGATGCGCTTAGGCGAATGATTTCCTGGCGTAGCAGGGGGGCGTCCTGGATGAGAGCAGTCCCTGGGGGGTGGGAAAGCACTTCCCCACTACCTCCCCCAAATTTGACCTCCAGGCTCATTTTGGGCCTCAGTCAGGTTCCATGGGGTTTAGGCGACGCGCGTTGAGTGTGTGTGTGTGTGTGTGTCCTTCTGTAGGCTTGCAGCCTACAGACAAAGGTCTTGTTGCTTGTGAAGGAAGGACTTGGTGTGTGTCTGGCACGGAGCTCGTTCTACAAAGTGGGGAGACGCGACGCCAGGGTTGCCTGACTGTTGGCCAAAGGGGAACGTGCTGGCTGGGGGGGGCTGTTCGAATGAGTCGCGTACGACACCGACCGGGCCGCCTTCTCAGTCTAATGGGGATCAGTTTCTACGTGGATCTTGGACTGTCTCGTGTTCCCTACCTTATGGCCTTTGAGGCCCCCGTTAGTTCGGAACATGAGGCGGGTGGGATTTTGCGCTGAGTCTATGGGAGGAGCGAAGGAACGACAGAATCGCGGTGTTTGGTGGAGACGCACTTCTTTTGCCACCAGATTCGCCGAGTAGGCTTCGCAGAGCGGGTCAACGTGAATTCACGGGGTCGGTCATTGGGGCGCTACTCTTTCATAGTGGTAAGGTAGGAAGTACAGCTCTGGCACCCGAGCAATCAATCTACCACAGAAACTCGCAGGTGCGAGGTTGTTCGGACTATATCAGGGCGCCGTCCCATGTCTTCCACATCGTGTATTGACCCCCTTCCCTGAGCGCCTGCTTCAAGGTCATGTGTCCTCCCTCTCATGCATGTCCGTTAGTCGGGCGAACGCTCAGCCGAGCTAGGACAGAGTAAGCGTTCTGCGCTGGGAAGCACAGAAACCAAGAAACCAAGAAGGTGCGCCCGAATGTTATGTTCGAACTTTGCGTGCACATAGAACAGCACAGAACACCGTCTGCAAGAAACTCTGGCCAGATTGGAGCAGCTCGACTTCTTCACGTTTCGCGTGTCCCCACTAGCTTGTCAGAAACGTTGCGCAAGAGAGCTGACGGGACAATAGACGAAGAGACACGTATAGTGAAATCAAGCGGGCAACCAGGATGAATAGAGAGATCTTTGGGAGCAATGGTGTGACCTTGGAGGGCCTCTTCGGGCCATCCCTGGGGCCCACCTGGGGGCAAGGGGATGAGGAGGAGGGGGAGGAGGCAACCCGCCTCTTGTGGCCCTCGTGGGATACTCTTGGGGCGCTCGTGGGCGCTCTTGGGGCCGTCTTGGGGCCGTTGGGGCCCTCTTGGGGCCCTCTTGGGTCTCTCTTGAGGCCCTCTTGGGAGCCCCATCAGGCCTCTTTGGGCCATCTTGTAGGGTGTCAATCGAAGGAGGGGGGGTCCCCGATTTCCGCCCCCCCCCCCCTCCCCCCCTCGGGGGCTATTGAAATCGCCTCTTTGGGCCTTGTGTGGGCGCTCCTGGGCCGCTCTTGGGGTGCTCTTGGGGCCGCCTGGGGGCCTCTTGGGCCTCTCTTGGGTTAGTTTCGGGCGATCTCGAGACCTCAAACAAACTCAATGGACGCGAACGGCGAGGTGGCGCAGCTCGTTGATTATTTCTTTGGTCTTCGAAGGCTGTTGGCCTCTCGGGGGGGGGGGTTCAGAAGGGGGCTCCGAGAGCACCTGGAACCGTCTTATGGCCCCCGTCGGGCCTCTTGGAGGTATGTCGGAAACACTTTCGACCCAGCTTCACTTGTCTTGAGCCACTTTTCGGGCGCGCACAGTACCAGTATGAAACCGGCTTGGAAATTGCATGGCAAGTTTTGTTCGAAACATCCAAGCGGGCATTTCGCGCCTTGCGCTCTGGGTGCCTGTGCGCGACTAGATTCCGCCATATTTTTCTCTGCGGGTTTCAAAGCAAATCATGCTGGGCGTGTTTTCCCAATAAGGGGTTGGGCGCTCGCGTTCTTTTAGCCGTGGCGTGCGATCTGTCTTCCTGTGGCATTTCAAGACGCTTAGGTCCTTGTTATCGTAATTTCGCGATGTTGCCCCCCCCCCCCCCTGCTGCGCCGTCAGATTGGGCGACCTCGCGCGCCCATGGGCTTAATCCGACCCACCGCCCACGCACGTCGCGCCCGACAATGGAAAACCAGCCTGGGCCAGCATTGCCGGGCGCTGCATACATTACACCACATAGCGTGCACCACATAGAGTCCAGCGCATATATTGCCTCACGTATATTGCACTGCGTAGCTTGCACCAGCCGGTACGCTTGAAGGCATTGTGCGGGGCCCATGCTGGCCAACATGCTTCTAGGGTGCCCCCCATTCCTGCCCGTCGTCCTGCCCCATGCTCCTCTTCGTCCTCCACCATTTCCGCCCTTTCC